GGGGGGGGGGGGGGTGTTCCAGAGAGGGAAGAGTTGAACTATAAGTGGATTGAGAGCAATCGCAAATTGCAGGTTGGTGGCAAACCTCAGAAAGCAGGACAGTAGGCTTCTCCAGGTCATCTCCCTTAATGCTTATACCAGTGCCCTGGCATTCTGGACAGAACACCGAGTATATCTGTCTCCTCACTGCTTTTATCTCATCTTTCTTCCCTTTTGCACTGTGTTTCGCTCCAGTCTTCCTCTTAGATCTTCGTTTTGCTTTGGTTTCCACTTTTGGTTCGTCGACGGGTTTTCCATAAGTTTCCAATTCACATAGAAGTATCCAGTGAATCAGGCAAGATACATGGAACACATGAAACGCCTATATTGACACAGAAATAGTAAGTGCATGGAGTGTAGTATTCAGATAATGGATCTTCAATAAGGTTTCAAAAGTGGAGAAAAATGTCTAGAACACAATGCATGAGTACATAAATAAATATCAGATGGAACAACAATAAAACACCACAATGCACGAGTACATAAAAAGATATCAGATGGGAAAAACAACAAAGCAGAGCAGCGTTTACCCCTGTCAAATTTCTACTGCTGCAAACAAGTCTTCCAGATTTCCTGTTCAGTAGAGCTGCCACGTCTTTACCAGGAAGCATTTTCTGTTGGCAGATATCACACATTCTCTCAGAAGCTACTCGCTGCTGTTTCCTCAACTCTCTCCTCATTGTTTTGCTGGATATAATTCTTGAACCCACTAGTTGATCATCACGTGTTCCCAATATCAGTCTCATATTTGAGCTATTTGTTGATTGAGATTCTTCCCCAGAAGAATCACACTGATTACTCAAAGACTCACTGATATCCTCCGGGTCCGAAAATGACTTCCTCCTCCTCTTGTTTCCAGCACCAATGGTTATGGTCTCCTCAGATTCCGAATAAGGACTGGAGGGGAGCAAAAATCTGTCATCAAGTAACGCCTTCCTACCCAAATTATAGTTATAAGGAAATGTAACAACCGCAAAGTCATGATCTGGCACCACAGAGACATCGATATCATCAGAATCATTTTTTCCCAACCATTCACACCATATTTTACGAATGCTTTTAGAGTCAATGTCATGCACAGTAAGCCGCACAGCAATTTGTCCAATACCAATAAGATTCACTTCTAGATCAGATAATTCATCTTTACACAACACACCCGGAATAACCAAGTTATCACTCTGTCCATTACCAGTCAACTCACAGTACTCATCCTCGAGATCAGGTACATCCCCATTAGGTCTCGAATTTCCACCATACTCAACAATAGCAAGGCTACTTTCATCTACAAGACAAGTGTCAGCCAGCCTGCTTTGACCAACATTCGCGATAGGCAAGTGCTGCTTATCATGCTCCGGATCCTTAAAGAAAAGCACACCATCATTGAACGGCCATGGATTCGGCTTCAACAATGTGGCTTTAGCAGCTGCGACCATTTCAGTATGAAGACTACCTTTCAGATGATTAAACAGGACAGAATCACTATAACACGGCGAATGACATAGCGTGCAGAAAAAGACTAATCTCTTCCCATCTTCTCTAAGCTCAATATACGTATGTCCTTGAGACCTCACATTATTCAAAGTTCTCCTCACTAATTGCTCTTTCAAGTTACAACCACTCGTCTTGGGGAAACCTAGTTGTCTACCCGCCATAAGATTCAAATATCACATATACCAAACAAACGGCTAAATTTTCCGAACTTTCACATGAAATACAACAATAGAAACACAAATTTTCTCGAATTTGACAGAATTATCAAGCAGGAAATTCAAAATTCGGTAATTCCGAACCAACAATTGCCACAATGTTCCGAACTTAGCAACTTCGCGAGCACGAAATTCACAATACCGTGGTAAAATCCCACATCAATTCTTTAAAATTCGGCTTCAGGAAGTAAAAACAAGACAAGTAAAGAGTAAATTTGACCAAACCTTACAGAAGATTTAACAAACCCTAAATTTACAACTTCGAGGCGTGCACGGTATTATAGGTATCTTCGTCAATTTCCGAACTATTCGATTTTTAGCAGCGGCGGATATTCCAGAAGAAAACTCAAAAAGCGACGAAATCGAACACGAATCCTCCATTGTCATTTGCATCTCCATTAAAAAACTTCGTAACAGAAAATTAAACGAACACTAAAAAGAAAAACGAAGAACCAACAGAATAGAGACTAATAACTAGAAATCAGAATTCAAGAAGAAGAAACAGAGATTGCATAGGTGAATATATGGGCAGTAAAGAAAATATTATGTATGTATAGGTAGAGAGAGAAAATTGGAAGGAGGGAAGGTTCTAGAGAGAGAGAAAGATAGAGGAGGGAATTGAAAGTTGAAACAGACTGTTTTAACTAAATTTTGGTGAATATCTGTATTATTACCGTAAGAAGGACACTAAGATAATGAAGCGTGTCAATCGTATGCAACTCTGGTGCATAGTTACGGTATATTACAGCTGTTAGAGTCGTGGATAATGAACTAGTTTTTGATTGATGATAATAACGGTCAGGATTTCGAGGAGTAGGTATCGGATTTAAATGTACTGTGTAGTTGGGTTCGGTAGCGGAAGGAAGATTCTTGGTATAAGCCGATAAGCATGGGAAATAATTTCAAAAGCTTTTCTTTTCCTTTTTTCTTCTTTTCTTCGAATTTCAATCTTGGTCCCTCATTTGTTGAAAAGTTCTGATTTTGGTCCTTTTAATATCTGGGTATCTGGCCAAGCATTTTAAACTTTTAATTTAATTTGAATGTGTGTTTTAGGGGTCAAATGGTTTTGTAGGTTATTGCAAACTTATTTTTAATTTTATGGCTCCATCTCTTTTTTGCAAATGAGAGATTTGCTTTTAGATCTATCTTTTACACATAAGAAATCTAAGAAAGATATTTACATATAAGAAATCTAAAAAAGACACTTTCTTAATTTCAACATTATAAAAAGCCATAAAGGCCCATTTTCTCGTATTTTAGGTCCCTTTATATAAAAGGTATTTGATATATAAATTAATTTTAAAGTTATACTAAGCTCAAATTAGAGCAAAACTACAGTGCATTAGTAATTTAAATTGTTTAGTACTTAATAATTCGTTAAATTTATAAAAATTAACAAACACAGCGATAAAAATGCATATATCAATTAATGAAATGTAAATTGTGATTGTAAAAAAATTACGAGGATTAAAATCAAAATTTTTAATATTTGAAGGACTACAAATGCAAATTTCTCTTCTTTCAGTTACAGTATGTCTTTTGTCGTGAGGCGGGGGTGAAGCTAATTAACAATTTCATACGTAATTTAATTGCCAACTGGCTGAATCTCGTGTTAGTTTTATNCCCCCCCCCCCTTTTTTTTTTTTTAATCTGAAAATTAACTAAAGACCTAAATCTTCCTATCATAAAATATATTATAAAACTACAAAATCAATCCTAATTAATTAAACAGACTACATCATAATATGGGAGTATTTTTGGTATTTTCTTTACAAAGATTATATTAAAATAAAATAAAAGGTAAGGAAAGATAGGTTAAAAATCATGATAGAACTAAAATAATATAACTATAAAATACTAGTAACCTAAATCATACAAAAATAATAAAAACTAATAGATGAAATTATTTTTGGTATTTTTGGTTAAATTGAAACAAAAGAAAAGAAAAAGTTGATCAAAATCATAGCAAAAATTGGAATAACGTCACAATAAAAGACTAATGAACTTAAACTTAAGTAGAAATATATAATAAGATAAAAAATTGAAACCATTTTTGTTTCTTTCAAATTGCAATTGAGGTGAAATAAAATAAAATTCTATAAAAATTAAGCTTTACTTGAATAAATAACAAAATACTAAATAACTCGAAGACGCGACGGGTTAAAAATTGCGTGCTTGCTGTGAGCACCTAATTTTTGACTATATTTGAGTTTTTCATCACTTATATNATATATATATATATATATATATATATATATTGCATTTGCAAAAGGAGAAAATATACAAAAAAATATATCTTCTTTTAATTTTGGTCAAAATTAGTAAGTTAGTACAAGAAGTGATAACTTTCCTATTCTAGCTTTTGTCATTTTTTCCTCTCAAATACAATCAAGTGGCCATCCAATCCATTTCTTAGTTTTTGGCACACATTCTAACAGGTTATACAAAATAAATATTTCCCTTTTGTTTTACTTTTCCACCAACGAATAGTAGTTTGACATATCATCTTTGCTATATGGTCTCACAATCTCACTTCTATTCCTTTCACTCAATACATGGAATCAGCAATTTCAATTTCCACAAAAAGTGGTGCATTCGTCCGTCACTCATGTGACATTAAATAAACTTGTCCTCCAAGAATTTAAACTCTTATCCCATCACAAATAATACCTACCCTATATAATCTCTAGTGGAGAGCCCTAAAGCCTTAGAGAAAAAGCTGCGCAGCAATCTGTTACACCCATGGTTTCGTACGTGGAAGTAAGTAAATTGATATAAGCTCGGAAATGAGATGTTACATCCCGCATTTTCGTACGTTACGTAAATTCGGGAATGAGATTATTTGAAAGTTATAAGTATTATGATATTTCAAAATAAGTGATAAGTAAATTTGTGAAGGTGAAAGGGTAAGCAAATGGAAGAAAATGAGTTCCGTCAAAGTTTGGCAATTTGGGGATAAAATACGTCCAAGCTATAATACCCAATATATATGTCACGGCCCCGGTTCGCCCTCCGTGAACCATCGTGACGGCACCTAGTCGCTACGACTAGGTAAGCCTAAATTGCGGAAAAGAAACCAAAATTTGCGGAAGTAAACAATTTAAAACCAGAACAAAGGAATAGACAGCGTTTAAATGTGCCGCTCGGCATACACCATATTAAATTCTCAAAACCAACACATAAATCCAAGATCCGAAAACCCATGAGTCACAAGCTAAGAAGTACTACATAGCTCTAACTCCAGAATGTCTAACAATAACTGAAAATACAGAAGGGCTAATACTAAACAACAAGAATAGAAAGAGACTCCTCGGTCTGCGGACGCGGCAGATATACCTCGAAGTCGCTATAGCAGTCGCTTCACCTCAGGGGTGGTAGGACTGAGTCGAAGTACCTGGATCTGCACATGAAAAACATGCGCAGGAAGGGCATGAGTACACCACAGCGGTACTCAGTAAGTGCCAAGCCTAACCTCGGTTGGGCAGTGACGAGGAAAGTCAGGGCCCTATTGAGGTTAAATAAGATATAAGGTTTAACAGTGCGAAATAAGCAGTGTAAATAAGTAACACAGGCTATGAAGGTCAGCAACAACTATTACAGAGGCAAGTAAAACACAGAAAGAGAATACAACTCAGCTCCAAGATAACAACCGGGGATCTCCCAGGATACCGTCCTGTAGCCCCCAAATATAAATATCATATCCAGTGGATCTCCCAGGTGCAGTCCCGTAGTCCAACTTGTAAATGCGCGGGAATCTACTGGGTTCAATCCCGTAGTTCCAATGTAAAAGTGCAGGGGGATCTCCCGGAATGCAATTCCGTAGTCCCAAAATAAACATACAGGGGAGCTCCCGGGATACCGTCCCGTAGTCCCAAAGTAAATACACAGCAGCAACAAGAACTCAATTCAATCAATTTCATATCAAGGTGAAGCAGGTAATCCTAACCTAGCATGTTTCACATATTACAAATAAGACAGTTAAGGCAAATAGAGCAATTTAATCAAGTAGACATGCTTCTCTAGGCTAACAGCAGGCTAAATTTCCAAACAGTGTAAGCAAGAAAAGGAAGAACACAATTCAAGGCTATTTTTAATGAAAAACCGGATTTTCAACAATTAGCACAAGTACGCGCTCGTCACCTCACGTACAAGGCATTTCAATTATCACAATATCAATCCTATGGGGAAAGGTCCCCCACACAAGGTTAGACAAGCCACTTACCTCGAACCGGCTCAAATGTCAACCCGAAACCACGTTCTTGCCACGAGTATCCGACTCGAAATGGCCCAAATCTATTCAATTAAACTTCACAATGTAAATAACACTTCAAGTAACTGATTCTACAATTAAATTCTAAGCTAATACGCGAAATTAGGTAAAATGACCAAAACGCCCCTCGGGCCCACGTCTCGGAATCGGGTAAAATTTATATTTTCAGAAACCTCGTACTCTCACGAGTACAACCATACCAAAATTATCCAAATCCGATATCAAATACCCAATCAAAACTCAATTTCTTGGTCTAAGAACTTTTCCCCAATTTTCATACAATTTCCGAAATTAAAGGATGGATTCATGTTTAGATTAATGGGTTACAAGCAAAATGACTTAGGAATCGTTACCCAATCGATATCTCTGAAAATCCCTCAAATTCTTGCTCAAATCCGAGCTCCCAAGCTTAAGTTTCCTCAAAAATGGCTAAACTCTCGTTTTTGAAATTTTTATATTCTGCCCAGCTTTTCCCTTAATCGCGATCGCGGAAGGCCAGTCGCGATCGCGAAGAACCAAAATTCACGCGCCTCAGATTACTCTATGCGAACGCGGAACCCGTCCGCGAACACGATGCCTAGCTCCCTCAGACTTACGCGATCGCAGTTGGCTTCACGCGACAACGTAGAAAAACACTTAGCAACCACTGCCGCCTTATTTCTTCTACGCGAACGCGGCCTAGCCCACGCGTTCGCGATTCAACACTGCCCCAAAGCTACGCGCTCGCATTCCTATCCATGCGAACGCGAAGAGCAAAATTCCCTCAGCCTCGCCTAAGCCTTCGCGATCGCGATACTCTCCACGCGATCGTGATGAAGAAAAACCTGCAACACATACCAGCAAAAATCTGATGCCTTTCCAAGTCCAAAAATGGTCCGTTGAGCATTCGAAACACACCCGAGGCCCCCGGGACCTCAACCAAACCTGCCAACCAATCCTAAAACAGCATTCAAACTTGTTCCAACCTTCGGAACGCTCAAAACAACATCAAAACACCTATTTTTCATCGGATTCAAGCTTAGGAATTCCAAAAACTCTAAAAACACGCTTTCGATCAAAAAATCTATCAAACCTCGTTCGAATGACCTGTAATTTTGCACACACGACACATTCAACACTACGGAGCTACTCCAACTTCCGAAATTCCATTCCAACCCTCGGATCAAAATCTCTCTATCGAACCAGAAACTTTAAAAATTCGACTTTCGGCATTTCAAGCCTAATTTAGCTACAGACCTCGAAAACACAATCCGAACACGCTCCCAACCACGAAAGCACCCCACGAAGCTAACGGAACCATCGAATTTCTATTCCGAGGCCGTCTTCACACTGTTTCAACTACGGTCAACTTTCCAACACTTAAGCTCTCATTTAGGGACTAAGTGTC